CCAGAAGGCTGGTAAACACTACATGTATTTTTTATAAGCTCACATTAACTTCTGGAAAATGTGTGGGCCTACAAGCTGGGTGCATGAAAAAGAGAATTCAGATGTTTCATCTTTTTCACATCTTTCTGTTTTGCGTGTGCACGTGCAAACATGTACATGCACATGTACACATCTCCCATCTCAAGTAGGACATTCATGAAACTGGAGGCAGTAAGCACCTGTCTAGAGCTGTGTCGCTACCCAGAGGTGAGGTGAGGCCCTCCCAGCCCATAGAAAGACACAGGTGTCCTAAGAATGGGGCCAGGTTAGGTCACAATGACTTTTCTTATCAGTGAAATACAAATCTTAGTTGAGAAGACAACAAGCGCCTGTACAATTTTTCCCTAGCTTATAATTTGTTTTTCATCATAAAGAGAAGCTGTTTACTCTGTGCTCAGCCTTTTTCTTTTCTTGTGAATAATTTCTTTAAAAAAAAAAGGCTGCTGTTATGTTCAATGTGTCACGACTCTGTTGTGCTGGAAATGAGGCTTTGCCTGTATCCCGTAAAGGGCTGGTTTTGATTCCAAATGCCTTTTTTGTCTTTCTGGACCAAACTGCAGACTGTTGGTAAATGAGGTGGTTTCTTTGAGCCTCTGCAAGCTGCACTGAAGCATAACAGTGTTGGCTAAAATGATGTCCCTGTGGGTGGCTAAGATGATGTCCCTGAAAGGCTAAGGTGACATCCTTGTGAGTGTCTAAGGCAATGCCCCCCCATGCATAGCTGGCCCTGCAGAGGGAAAATGTCCATTCAGGGTCTTTATACATTGATTTTTAAATGAAATTCTGGTTCCCAGTTATCATGGGATTGTAGCATTACAGTGGTTTTTGATATATTGTTATATTCTTTCCTCAACCTCCAAAGGATGTGTCATTCTGCTCAGGGACTTCCATAACAAAATAATCACAAACAGAATGTTCTAAACAGTAGAAATGTACTGCCCATAGCCTGAAGGTCAAAATCTGACATGAGACTGACCAGTCTGAGCTTGTACTCCCTCTGAGGACCCCAGGAAGCATCTGTTCCCAGTTTTGATCTGTCCTGGGAGGGATCACAGTTCCTTGGTCCATGGCAGTAGAAAGTTGCTTTCACATGGCATTCTCCCTGCCAGTGAGTCTGTGTCCGAATTCCCCCTGTTAACCAGGACACCAACCACATTAAGGACTGAGAACCTACCCACTCCAGTGTGGCCTCATCTTAGCTAATAACATCTGCACGGATCCTAATTCCACATAAAGTCACATTCTAAATCAGTGGGTGTTAGGACTTCACCATAAGGATTTGGGGTCATGGGCACAAATTCAGCCCATAACAATGAGTAATATACCTTTTAGTAAAAATAAATTTGGCATTTTTGGAAAATTTTGTGAAATTCTGGAGAGTAGAAACAGGCATGTAATCACTCCGCTAGAAACTAGTAATTCCTTTGAGTTAACCAAATGTTTTATATGTCACAACCTACAAAGTGGAACAGCCCAGGATAAAAGGTCTTGTTGGAGCAAAGTGGAACAGCTTGTTGCTATAGAGCTGCACAGACAAATGTTACAGTTCAGGATCACAGATACCACAATTTGAAGACTTAAGAATCTAATAGTCACTTGAGGAGGTAAAGAAAAACCTTTACTACGCAGGCGGGCTCAGTGGAGCTCATATTACAAAGTCTAAGTGTTTGACTAGAAAAGGGAGCCTCCTTATATAGTGATCTCTTGGGTAGGCAAGTGTGCTCACTGAAGAAGGGGGGGCAGAGTTATAGAACATTCCTGAAAGGGGTGGAGCTAACAACATTGCTGAGAGGTCAGGAAGTTCAAACAGTTACAAAAAAATTTTGGTACATTGGGCAGCAGCAGATGCCCAGCAGCACAAACTTACATTTCTGGAACAAAACGTTCTGTGGAAAAAATGAAAAACATGGAGGCAAGGCAAGGGCCTTGTATAATATAGCTGTATCATTCTGAGTCCTTTGAAAATGTTCATCAAGGTCAGCAGTGGTGATCAAGGGCGTCTCACTGTTCCTAGCAACAGATGGCTGGGATGTAACTGGGGCCTCTTCCCTTAGCTCACAAAACATGTCATTGCTGCGGCTCCCTCGATTGTGCAGATGCGGAAACTGAGCTAGAAAGACAGCTGTGAGTGGCAGGAGAGGGGTCAGTACCCCTTCCCCATTCCATGCATCCTCAGGGGACAGTTTACTTACCTCTGGTTGTCAGAAATCCGCGAGGTGAATAAGTCCCTCTTCCCTCTTTCCCTCCCTCTTTCCTTCCTTTCTGAGAGAAAAGGGACCCTTTTTAAGATTTAAGGGTTGTGAGTACCAAAGTGCACTGTTTCTCACTTGTTCAGGAGAAAGACTTCCACTTGGGGTTGAGTTTTGCTGAGTTGGAAGCCAGCTCCTCCCTGTATCATCATAATTTTGTGACATGGGACTCTGGTAGTACTTCCCATCACTTTTACTCTGTAGGGTTTGGCTCATTAGAGGTCCATTTCCAACAAAGATGTCTCAACTGCTATCTCTTCATGGAAATTGATGCTGGCAGATGGTTTTCTTGGAAATTAGCTTTTGCAGATGTTGTTCTGGTTTTCTTGGGATTTAGTTGAATTGAAAACACACCCAATGCACCTAATTTCTTTGGTCCTTTATTGAAATCTTTATCCTCTCAGGTATTTCCATGTAATCACCATTGCCTTTCAGAAAGGTCGTTCCCCCTTTCTTAAGTTGTTCATCTTTTCTAATGTAAGCTTTTTAAATGGGGCTAATATTTTCTTGGATTTGTATTTTCTCGTGAAAGTTCTCTTTTAAAATTTTATTTTGTACAAAATTTTATTTTTTACTTTGAATTCTAGGCAGCTTATTTGTAAATCTCTTCTGCTCCTGTCCAGGGGTTCCATACTACACCTCTGCAGATAGCTTCTAGGGAAATGAATAACCATCTCAGGTATCCTAGCAGGCAGTGCTGCAGAATGATTTAAATGTAGAAAAGTAGTTCAATCTTGTCTGGCTCTCTGGCAATCACTGTTTCTTCAGGCTTCTACATTTCATCTGTGAAGTAGTTAGGTGAGGTTAATTCCAGGTATTTGCGTCACAGTTTTTACAGGAGTAGCTCTTTTGTTTGGTGACAGCTAATTCTGGCCAGGTTTTTAGCCCAGCTTGGGTTCCCTGTGGTTTCTTAGGAAGCACTGCCACACAAAATCAGCCCCATCCAAAGTTTTTTTTCCTTCTTATTCCTTCCTCAAAGGAAATAACCAGTGTTTCCTTCAGTCTGTTGGTTTCAGAACACTTCTGCAAAGTTCTAGAAACTAGAGGCTTTGCAAACACAGTAAGGAGTTCTATTTCATCTTCTCCTCCATCCCCTCCTGGAGTTGCATTTTTCAGTCATCAGATTAAATCTTCACATTTCATTAGCACCATCTTTTATAAGTGATTTCCCTTGTTTTATTACCAGAAAACTGCTTCATGTTGTCTGTTATGAATTTGTGACCCTTGACAGTGTGCCCCAGATTACCTTTATTGTGGTGAAAGTTTAGGAAACCTTCACTCTATCCCATCAGTTGGCGAATTCCCAGTTTGAAAATAGATACTATTGCTGTTATTGTTATTCTGAGTGCAATTAATTTCCAAGATCCTTACTGGCACATTTTGTAGAAGCATAAAATAACTGTCATAAGTGAGCCCTAAGTACTCAACCCCCCTGTTAATTTCAGATTTATTATTTTGCTATGAAATATGAAATATCTAGAATTTGGATTTTCCCCACTTTGGTTTATGAGCTACATTTCTTGGTGATTTTTGTAAAGGTGAGAAGACAAAGAGTTGATAGTTATTAGAACCAGTAAGCCATTTTCTTACTTATTTTTCTCAAAGATAAAGGCATTTGCTATAGAAATAATATACTTCCTCCTAGAGCAAAATTAAATTGTATTAGCCTTGAATACTAGTTCCCAAGAGGGGGAACCAAAATGCTTTCTGCTTAGCACTCAGGGAGATGAATGTGTTTTTACATATTCATTTTCTCTTCTCCCAAGACAAAAGGAGGCAAAAGGAACCTCCCCTCTCTAAAAGGGAATTAAAGGCAGGAAATGTCCCCTACAACATTGTCCTGGTTCATGTTCCCCCTTGGAGAAGCTGAAGTCATTGGCTGGAGTCAGGCAGGGAGATAGGACTTCATCTCTCTGGCTGGCCACTTGGGTGTGTATCTTCAGGCTTTCCCTATGGCAGAGCCACGGAGTGTTTTCATCTGTGAGATGGTATTGTAATAGCCATGTTAGGTGAAAAACCCAGTAATGTGTGTGATGCTGGTATTTGAATAACTATTTCTCCCCCAAGAAATCCTTGCCCCATGGCCATCAGGTCTATGGTTTGGAGTTTAGCAGTCCCTGTTTTGAACACACACACACACACACACACACACACACACACACACACACGACACAGGGGTCAGCCCAGGGTCCCGCAGAGGCCTCTGCCACAGCTCAGGGAAGGAGAATGTAGCCAGTGGTCGGTCAGAGGGCCCTCCTGCCCAGCCTGTAGCCCCGACCCTCCTTTTCTGCTGGGTGTTTGCTGTCACCTGCCTGGGCAGGTTGGGTTGGGACAGCGGGGAGCCACGGTGCTAGGTCAACGGCAGTGCCTGGTGGGCCAATCTCTGAACCTTGATTCCTGAAGGCGCAGCGGGGCATCTGCCTCCTGCTGCGGCCAGCTCGGCGTGGCTCGAGGTATCGCAGAGGTGGCGGGAGAGGGTGCTGGGACTTAGGTGGCGTGGGTCTGGGGTGTCGCAGAGGTGGCAAGGGAGGGCAGACCCTGTCGCAGCATGTTCCTTCCCGCTCCCCAGCCCTCGGTTGCTAGGCAGTTTCTATGGCAGCCGCATCCTCAGACTCAACTTTCACCCTCATTTAGAGCCAATTAAGGTAAAATTGTGTGCGTGTGTGTATGTGTGCGTGTGCGTGCGTGCGTGCGTGTGTGTGTGTGTGTGTGTGTGTGAGTAAGCAGGTGGCGCGGGAGGCAGGAGCTCCAGGCTGCGGGGAGCGCCTATCCCAGACCAACGCAGGCGTCCTCTGCAGCAGGTTACCTCCTCCTCCACCTTCTCCACCTCCTCCACCTCCTCCCTCCCGCCGCAGCTCCCAGGCAGGACCAAAGGGAGAGGAAGCCCGCAGCCGCACCGAGACCGGGAGAGACCCTGCCCGGCTCCCGGAAGGCCGCCTGACTGGCCCACTGCTCCCTGCCGGCTCAGCTGTGCGCGGCTTCCCGCATCTGCCCACCATTCCTTTCCCGGGCCACTCGGTCCGCGCTGCTGTTTATTTTCTTGCTATCAATACTTGATCAGAGGAAAGGAAAGTTTTAAAAATGCCGATTGCACAGTTGCTGGAACTATGGAAAAAGATAGAAGTGGAGCCCATGGAAATAGAGGTGAGTACAGAAAGGGGGTGAGTGCACTTTTTCATAGTATCCCAAAAAAGCTCCACTCTGGCAAATGGACTGATACTTGATAAAAAAGCTTAAGATTGATCGAGTGACTGTTACATATTTAATGTGCATAGATACCCGAGTTACATATGCATATATATTAGCCTTGTTTACCATTGCACCCATTTGGCACTGTGTGTGATGTAAACAAAAATTCTGCTCCTAAACCATCCTTCAGGATGCTTCTCACAGTGCGTGTGTTCCTGCGTTCCCAAATGAGTCTGCATCGGTTTGATGTTTCCTTCAACAAGTGGCTTCAAATCCTAGACCTCCATTTGCTGCAGTGAGAGTGAAATAAAAAGGGCCACCAAGGAGTCCTTTTGTCAGAACAGAGGACAGAGTGCAACCCTAAAAGGATGCACTTTTCAGATAAAGAGGGACGACTAAGGAGAAGGAAACGTTGAGATGCAAATGTTAGGAGCGCATCTCAGGACTGCTAGAGTGCAGGAGACATTGCTGACATCAGACCCCAAGGAGAAGGAAACCTCTGTCCCAAGGAATTTTATCGCCTCTCTTTGAATTAGACAGGACTAACACGTACTTTTCTGAGAATTTTCTCGAAGTAATTAGCAGCTATTACATTTTTAGATTTCCTGTGCTTTGTTGATAGCAATTTAAGCTGCATTTAAAAATAGCTAATTTTAATAACTTACTAAGTCTCCTGAAAATCCAAGCTATAATTTCTGCCTCATCCCTGCATCCAGCATCATACTTATAAATTCAGTGCTACTTTAAATTGTATTCATTTTTATATATTCGTAGTGTTTATTGTGATACTCACATAACCTAATTTTAAACTGAGTGAGATTCTCTTTTACAAGAGAATTTATTTGACATTTCATATTTAATACTTTCCTGGGCAGACAGATTAAGTTGATAATCCTTGAAATAGGTATGGGTGTGATACAGGGTTGTCAAGACCAGCATAGACACCAAGCCTATTTTTTTAGCTGGAACAGTCTGAAGACTGGGGAGAGGAACAACAGGCTCTGTTGCTACTGGTTAATCTGTTCATACCTGGCGCTCTATATAAATCGACAACAAAGCCTTAACAGGAGCCATTCACTTCAGGGGTTGTTAAGTCTTTTTTTCCCCCTTTGAGAAATTTGATTTTTCTAAAAATTGCATTAATCAATGAACAAATGATTCTGGCAGAAACTCTCTTTCTATCTCCTGAAGCCTCTTAAAGTGCTGGGGAGGAATGCCTAGCTGTGAGGTCCAGGACGCAAAGCTCCTTCCAGGGAGAATTGGGCTGGGCTGGGTAGGGCTGGTGGGAAGGAAGGAGGCTTTGCAGGAATCTGACCTGGACTTTGGACTTGCCACTTTGACCAGGGATAGGCCCCTAGGAGCCGTGTGGAATTTAAATATTTCTCAAGTTAATTGAAAATGGACAAGCCACGAGGAGATTCATATTTTTATAAAAATATATTGTGACCCTGGAAAGCTCTTGGAAATTCAAAGGACTGGAAGCAGAGCTTATGATACCCGTAGTACACTGTGGCCAGTGAGAGGGCAGGTTGTGGGAGTTCTTATGATTAAGCTGTGTACAACCCCATGTGGGCAATTTGGGTGAATCAGCTTTTGAAGTACAAGATGCTTTCTTCAGGCTCTTGGGTGAGATCTTTAGAATAAAAAACCCTTCAGGGTAGGTATCAAGTGATGGAATATTCATAGTTATTTGGAACCAGAAAGACCAGAATCCTTTCCACAGAGTGATTAACATTGAGCATAAGGTATTTCAAGTTCTCAAAGAAACTTCTAAATACTCAAAAGTGTGAAATCTATGTGCTTTGGACACCTTAGGCCAATCTCACTCTCTCATTTTGCTCGTTTCATATTCTATTGCATTAAAACCACTTGCATATCAAGGCGGTGAGCAAATTGAAGTGAAGCACAGGTAGTCTCTGGGCTCTGAATTAAATGTCCTATGGTCCTTGGGTGGAGCGTATGCACGCTTCTTCTTATACAAACATCTGCTGTAAGGGTCCAGTTCTGATAATTATTTGTTTTTACACAAATTTAACAGCTGATTTTTCCAGAGCTTGGAGATCCCTTCACTCCAACCACCTCTTCCTGTTGCTTCCTCTCCACCCATTTTTCTTGTTCATAATCAAAGGGAAAAGAGGATCTAGAGCTCCCTTAACTACACTGGTTATTCCTCAAAGATATCATCTTGCTTTGGCACCCAGACCAGGGGAAATCCATTTGACTGTCTACGGAAAGTAATTGTGGGTATTATGAATTGTTTGAGATATCTTGGATAGTATTTTACCCATAAATGGGATGTGCAGACAAGGTAATACGTATGCTAATTAAAACCTAGGATCTCTAAAATAGCCTCAAAGAATCTAGCTTGAGAAAGCATCATGTAGTATTTTGTGAATTCTGTTTTAGCATTAAAACATTAAAGGTACATCTCAGGAGCAGGACTTTCAGTGATTGCTTTCAGCACGGTTACAATGGCCAAAAGCACACTTTAGAGAGATGGTGAGTAAAGATCAGTAAGGCAGTGCATACACCAGCCCAGAGGGTCTGGTTGACCTGTTTTATTTGTGGTCTTTCTGAGGAGCAAGCGTGATTAGCCCTTCTGGGATGTCACAATGCATTAGAGAAAGGAAAAGCCCCCATTTTCAAGCAGTGCTGATCAAATACAATTTCCTGATGACTCATAGTCAGCAGCATAATGACTATTGTTTTAAGTCTACTAGGTTAAAAGTAGTGATAATGAAAGCAGCTAACTTGGAGCATCTACAGCACGACAGAGCCTTGCAGACAAGGGAACATGCTAAAGTAAAACCTGGGACCTCCAGAAAATCCCTTGGTGGGTGTTATTGCATTAAAGTCTCCCCACATCTAAGGTGGTAGGTGTTTTTATATCCCTGGTTTTAAATCTGATGGAACCGAGGCCCAGCTAAAGCAGTTTGCCCGAGGTCATTAAGTAGCAGGAGAAACCCAACCTCAGGTCCTCCTACTCAAGCTGTGTACTATATAGATACCTTGGTTTATGTCTATATGTGCCAGGGCTTTACTCTGTGACTTAAAAATCCTTCCAGCACTAACCTGACATTCCATTCAGGAATGGTGACAAACTCTTCACCATCACCTGTTTCCATCCTAACTGTGTTAGTATCCTAGCTTCAAGCAAACCTGCACAGGCAGGAGGCTGTGTGTAAATCTCGTTCACCTTCAGCTGTGCTTTAAGTTGTACACACTTCATTGATTTAGTGCCCTGTTAGTTTAGATCCCAAAACGACATGCCTTTTGGCCACCTGTTAAGGAGTCTGTCTCCGGCAGGAAGAATCACACAGTAACAAGCAAATTCAGGAGGAAAGGAGCCACAGCACAGTTCCCATGTCCTCCAAGCCAATACTGAGGTTTAATTCGACTTTTTTTTTGCACTGATTACCTGGATGGGACTTTTTGGAAGAACCTTGCATGTTAATTATACTTCACATGTGTCTTTGTTGTCAGACCACTGAGGAGGAGCTCAGCCTGGATGCAGAACCGACCACAGAAGACACCGTGGAAGAAGTAACTATATGTGTTTTATTACGGTCTGGTTGTTTGGAGAGAGTGGGCCCAGTAGGTAGAGAAGAGAGAGGAAATGGAAGCTTGAAATTAGTGGCCCACTAGTGGTTATTTAAGTGAAATGTGTCTATACATACACAAATACAGGTGTGCAGATCCACACACATACATTGTGTATGTGCTACCTTCAGTAATTTCCCTGAGAAGGACTGGTTACCACACAGGAAGGGCAACCTTAACCAAGATGAAGCCCCTGGTCTTCTGGTTGGCTGTTTATAGGAGGGCGATGGTCTGTGATGGATCAATTACCCAGGACAGGCAGGAAGAATACCCAGCGGAGACTAGAAAAGACAAATGAGTACCATTTCTGGGAGTTTCCCCTAGCGACATCTCTTACATGAGATCCTTGAATGTTAAAGTGAATGGTGGGATTCCTGAGGGTGGGCTCCCCTGTGGGCAGGGAGCGGTTTCGAAGACTCCAAGGAGAAAAGGGTACAGGGAAGGTGAGGTGGGAAAGAAGAGCAGGAAGGTGGGGGGAGGGTAACATCTTGGGGTGGAAAAGACACGTAGAGGAGGGAAGAGCTTGGTAGTTGCTGGCTGTGTGTCTGCCCACCGTCACGCCACAGAGGAGCATGCTCCTGACCAGCAGGCAGAAACTGCCTGGGACTTTAGCAAAGGCAGCACTGGCATTATAGAGGGCGATTTGGTGACAGCAGCATATCTTTGAGGAAAACGTAGGACATTGAAGAGCTACATTCCAAAGTTCAGTTGCAGCTGGAGAGAGGACTTCTAGTTTGCAGGCATGTTTCTGTCATCATAAAGGACATTCTCTCCAAGGCAGCAGGACCCACAGATCACCAGTGAAGCAAACTGAACTTAGTAACCTCAGTCTGCTGAACTGTGTACCACTAGAAACCACAGGAATTGTCAAATTTGCTAGTCTGTTGACTTTTAAAAATAGCTGCAAAGTGTGGTAGTCTGTGAGGGCAGGATTGATGGATGTTACTGGCCCCACATAGTGGTCTGTTTGGGTGGTAAAAACTGCATTTCACTCTCATCTAGCCCCATGCACACTGTGGAAATGTAAGCCCGGTGCCACCAGATCTTATGATCAGATGACATAGTACATTGGTTAAGTAAGGGAGAACCATTAAGCTGCCTCATCTTCAGCTGGCTGCCATTCAGTTCTGTGCTTCCATTGCTGGTCAGGGAATTTGGCACTCAGCTGTTTCCACAGCTTGGCAATGATCTTGCTGGAGTCTTGAGCAGAGCGTGTGGGTTGGCTGTGTATCTTGGCACTACATAGAGAGTAGACGTAGCTTTGCTCATACCAGCACCACAGAGGTCAGAAAGACACAGGAGCAGTGCCTTTCCTAAAAAGATATTCACTTCAAAACTGCACAGTTGCAGGGTAAAGATGCAAAGCATACCCTCCACACTGAGTAACGAGGCTTAGGGTGTCAGGCAAACTACAGCTTTTACTCATAAGAACACTTTGCCAGGCTTTGGTAGAAACCTGATTTCTGGGAGGAACCTATAGAATATTACGGTGGGCAGATGACTGTGGTAATTTAGCAGTTGGTTTCCGTAACAGCCTTGACAACACTAAGCCAAAATATGTGCGTAGACCATTCTCATTTTATAAGCTCCAACTAAGCAGCAACATTGTGTAGCATGTTATCTCAGTCCATTTGGGCTGAAATAGCAGAAACCAGGTGGGTTATAAACAACAGAGATCTATTTCTCGCAGTTCTGGAGGCTGGAAGCCTCAGATCAAAGTGCTGATAGACTCAGTGCTTGGTGAAAGGCTGCTCCCTGGTCATGGGATGCATCCTCTACATCCTCCCTTGGCAGAAGTGGTCAATGACTTGTTGGCTTTTTAAAATAAGGGTACTGATCTGGTTCACAAAGCTCTACTCTTGGGACCTTATCACCCCCCAAAGACCTTGCTTCCTAATGCCTAATGCCTTAGGGGTGTGATTCAACAAATGAACATTTTGGGATCACAGACTTTCAGAGCATAGCACATGATAAAGCTCACAGGTACTTAACCACCCAACTGAGAATTAAAAATTCATTAGCAGTATTTGTTTCCTAAGACCTCCTAGTCTCAAGTTGTGTCACACCAACATTTTTGATAGAGATATAGATATGAACCTATTATAGGAATGTGATAAGAACAGCTGGACTATTTGTTTATTTATTTGGTGCCGGGGATTGAACTTGAGTCCTTGTGCTTGTGAAGCAGGCAGCGGAACCACTGAACTAAACCCCTGGCCCTCAGCTGGCCTTTTTAAAAGATTTTTTGAGACAGGGTTTCATTATGTAGTTGAGACTGACCTGGAACTCACTATGTAGCCCAGGCTGGTCTCGAACTCACAGTGATCCTCCTGTCTCAGCCTCGCGAGTGCTGGGATTACAGGCATGCACCACCATGTTTGGCTTTAAAAGGTATTTTTGATAATGGAATGTGAAAGAGTGAAAATTGTTATTTCCTGATGATACCTTATCAGAGTGATAGAAAGTCAGTGTATTTTAATTCTTAATAAAGGAAGAGCGTGCCAAAAAATGTTAGCAGTATCTTGCAGGACCATAATATTATTTATTTAATTTATTTATTTATTTATTTTTGGTACTGGAAACCGAACTCAGGTCCTTGCACTTGCAAGGCAGCCATAATATTATTTAGATACATTCATTAGTATTTATAGAGCTAGTGAAAACATATTGGAGAAAAAAATTACTTGTTTAGTTGATGTTTCTGGTAGATGTTGCAGAAAAATCAACCCATACCTTTCCAGCCTGGCTACATGTGGATATCCTTCTGGTCTCCTGTGCTGGTATCTAGTGTTTGTTACAGTGAAATTATTCTCCATGCATCCTTCTTGGCTTTCAGAGTAGTTAATTTGCAAACTCTTCTGTAACTAAAGCATCTGTGGCTGAGATGAAATTTGATGGCCACTGAACTGAGTATAAAAGGCTCATACCTTTTACCATCTTCAACATGTGTAATAATTAAACAGTCATTTTATTTAGGAAAAATCATTCAAATTAAAACCTATGGGCCAAACACTTGTAATTACCTTAATCAAGATGGTCTTTGTGTATATGTGTATGTTTTGGGATATTTTTCTTACTTTTTGAATGGTTGAACACATTTGGAATGTTTTATGCATAACTATCCCAGTATGTGTTTCCTGTCTGATTGTGTCTCACTGTTATGATTCTGTCAACTCTTGGGAAAAAGAACTTCAGTGGAGAAATGAGACAAAAAAAATCTATCTGAATCTGAGAGCTAATGCTACAGGTTTTTTTCTTCAGCATTGTTGTAAGAATTCCTCTCTCAAGAAGTCAGTATTGATGTGGGGGAGTTTGGGATATAAATTTCCAGGAGGGTAGATTAGTTTCATTTTATTTGACATGAATAAAGTAGGCACCTTTATATTCTAAACAAAATCCAAAGGCAGCAGATTCCATTAGGAAATACCTCTTTAAGGGATTGTTGCAAGGGGCTCAGTATAGAGATAGATCATAGGCACAGAAAGAAAACCTAGAAGCAAAATTTATATTATGAATTTTGATGTGGCACCTGCTGTGTGCAGCCTTGGGATGTTCTTATTTGCTGATCTTTTTTTTTTTTTTTTCAGATTATGCATAGTAAAGCAAACTGCAGTGCTGGGAAGTTACGATATTTAAGGAGTTTAAAGTTTAATGCAGACAACAAATGTGTCACTTGGCTTGGATACTGTTATGCTGAGCTAGGGCGGCAAGAAGGTCCCAGGTGGCCACAGTGCAGCCTTGCCCGGCATGGCTGAGTGAATTTATCATGGTCCATAGGCAGCTGCCGCCTGGTTGCCTGGGAAACCCATTTGGACTTTTGGCCAAGCACACCCAGGGCAGACTCCTCACTGCCCTGGGAGTGCGTGCAGCCTGTACATCCATATGAGGATGGCGCAGGGTGATGTTAGACTAGATGACAGTACCCGATAGGCCTCCTCGGAGCCTGGGCGATGAGGTGGGAAGGAGGAGTTGTCACAGTGGAGTTAGAAGGCCTCGGGCCAGGAGATGGCTTAACTAGTCCATTTCCATGAGGCAGACGCCAAATCTCCTACCTACCAGGCAGCTCCAGACCCCCGGGCCTGCTTGTCATCTTGGCCCCACAGTATTCTGAGATGCATAGGTGGCGTAGGTGAGCTTTTATTTCACAGAAAAACCTGTGAAAATATTGGAACCCATATTTTTTAACTGTTTAGATTTCAGGGTTATGTTTATTAATCATTATAAAGACCAATTTCCTGTCTGTTAAATTTAGAAAACTAGATTCAATTTTTACTTTGTTTCTTATAGCTGCTGGGACACTTTTCTCCCCATTCTGGTGGCAGAACAGGAAATGTATGAATGGTGAGAAGTGTCACTTCTGGTGCCAGCCATCATTTGGCCAGGGAGGGTGGGGGGGCACTGGACTTGGCTGCCAAAGGACAGCTCTCTGAGTCAACAAGGATGTCAGAGAGTGCAGCAGCACAGAGACCAGAGAGGGACCCTTGCAGTTCACATACAGCTCTTGTTGGGATTTTTTTTTTTTGTACCAGGAATCGAACTTGGGACCTTGTACTTGCAAAGCAGGCAGCAGAACCACTGAGCTAATTCCCCGGCCCCAATCTTCTCAGGTTGTCAGCAGGGTCTGCTGGCATCTTCTGATGATCTTCTGAGTAGTTGTCACTGTAGCTTCCTGGAGTGACCAGTTTCCTGATTTCCCAACTGGTCTCAGATTGGACATCTGACCTTTCCACTCAGTAGAGAAGTGAGGGAGGAAGGTAAGGGCGGAGACTGGTGGAAACACACTGAGCTCCTGAAGGAGAGAGCAACACAAGAGTGTCATCAAGGCCCTGGATTGAAGTCATGGTGCCAGTAGAAGAATGTCACCTGGGTCAGGCCGAGCAACCCATGCAGCACCTGCAGGGCCAGTGCATCATCTCTCCCGAATCTGGAAGGTACAAGGAGAC